CCATGGAATGAAATGACATCAGAAAATGTGGAGAAGTGCAGCTGCCAGGGGGGAGTGTACTGCAGGTGCAAAGGAAGCCGTGAAGGAGCTAAATTGGTAGTTGAGGACTTGGTGCAGCAGTTGCACCATGTCACTACTCATCTCGAAGCTGCTGAGAAAAGGTCAGGGAAGGGTGACAAGGACAAAGCTCATTTCTAGAAGTTACCTGAGCTGCACGCAATGTTTCGTTGAGGTCGTCAGACTTAATCTAAATTAATTCTCTCCAGATTTGCACGATTTCCATCACTGGTATCAGAGCCACGGTTAGAGGACGTTTTTTCCTCCATTGGAAGAGATCTAGAGAGGCTTGAAGTGCTCCAGATCTAGGGTTTGACATGGCCTAAAAGCTGGATGGCCCTCCTAGGTTTACCGGCTCGGACTTTTCGCTATGGAGGTTCCAGTTCACACTATGGCTAGGTATTAAGGACCTAGATAGTGTGTTGGATGGATCGGAGAAGCGACCACGAGCTGAATCTGGGGAGGCGTCTACTTGAGCAACCAGCCAAGTGAAATCCGGGGCTGGAGCATCGTTGAGTGGGGGAATGAAGGAGGAACCGCTGCAACTCGAACCGGAAGGTCGCAACCAAGTAGCGAGGAGTTGCTCAAAGCTCAAGAAGCATGGGATCGGAAGGATCGCCAGGCATTTCAGTACCTGTGTTGGGCTTTGGAGGGGCAACTTGAGCTTCTTAAGATGCTGATTGACCTGAAGGGGAAGGAAGGTGCAGCAGCTGCAGCTTGGAAAAGAGTGCAAGATAGGCACTTGCAGAAAGGGCTTCTAAGCGTGCTTACTTGGTGGAAGCGGTTTTACACCATGGAGCGGAACTATGGGGAGGGGAGACCATGGTTCAGTATCTCCAGAGGGTGGATGAGAATGTGAGGGCTTTGGAGGAGCTGGATTACACAGTAGATGAGAAGGAGATCATCTATACTGCGCTCCAAGGGTTGGATCAAGCGGCTAATGAGGCATTACTACAGTACCTTCACCTCGAGCAACAGAAATGGACCAAGGTGTGGATTTGGGAGGTAGCAATGGCCGCAGCTGCTAAGGATGAGTAGGGGAAGGGCCAAGACGACTCCTCCGATGATAGTTTCTCGTTTCTCATGCTAGGGCAGGATGCAGCTCTCGCTGGTCGTGCATTGACTGATCCCAACTTCCTGGTTCTAGACTCTGGAGCAACATCTAGGATGCTTCCTCGCCGTGATCTCTTCACCTCCTACCATCCTCTCCCACCAAATTCGAGGAACGTGATTGTTGGGAGCGGAGATTTGCTGCAAGCAATTGGCATCGGCACGATCACCATTAAGGGGAAGGAGGGGAGCTAGTGGGTGTGAAGGGGGTCCTTCACGTCCCTGGTTTGGGTGCAAACCTCCTTTCATGCTCGCAGCTGGATAAACAGGGATAAATCTGCACTTTCACTGAGGGAGGGTGTACTGTTAGAAAGGGTGAAGCTGTGGTGATGGAGGCAAAGCTGGACAAGGGTTTATACCTTGTTCCAGCTTGTGTGCCTGATTGTTACAAGGCACATATGGTTTTTTCTGAGGAAGCCGCTTGTAGCACTCGCTGGAGGCAGGTCGAAACGGTGTCACCTGAGTTGCTACAACCTTCGCATGGGGCACGTGGGGAAGCAGCAACTGCTGGAGTGTGTGAAGAAGGGGGAGCTGAAGGGAGTGGAGGTCAAGGAAGGAGCTGGGCAGCAGAGAAAATGTCCCGACTGCACGTCTGGAAAAGCTGCCTAGAACCTCATTCCCTATCTCCTCTGATCATGCCTCGACTCCCCTTGAGCTGGTGCACACGGATGTGTGTGGACCGATGCAAACTCCTGACTGGGAAAAGGGCAGCAGGTACTTTGTCACCTTTCTTGATGACTTCAGTCGACTAGCTGGGTCATCTTGGTGAAGACCAAGGATGAGGTGGCAAAGGTGTTTAAGCAGTGGATACGCTATGTGGAGAGGGAGTCAGGGGCCAAGGTGAAGGTGTTAAGGTCAGATCGGGGTGGAGAGTACTTGAAAAAGAGCTTTAAACCTTCTTTTGGACAGGGAAGGTGCCAAATGTTTCCATGGCACGAGAGTGGGGGTGCATGGCACAGTATAAGGTACCTGACCAGCAAAGAAGGAAGCTAGATCCTAAGGCACAGTGGGGGATCTTCCTTGGGGTTTCTAAGAGGAGCAAGGCTTTGGTGCTGTGGAGTGTAGCTGACCAGCGTGTGATGGAGAGCCATGATGTGGTTTTTCATGAGGGGCTGAATTTTAAAGGGTGGAAGGAGCATGGTATAAGCCAAAGTGGGACTTCCTATGAGAGTACGACCTCGTTAACCACTTGGCTTTTCCTTATTTCCCTTCTCTTTTCATTTCTCTTTTTTCCATCTCATTTGGTTTCCTATTCTCCATTTTCCATTATCCTTTGGTTTATCCTGCTATTATAATTATATCACCGACCAGGCTTGGATGTACTGGACGCTATCTAGCGTAATCCTGCCGTAATCCCTTAAAGCCAATAGCCTCGCGTGGCTATACGCAGGGTGATTCTATCTTCTAGAAGGGTCTATTCCCTTAGGATAGATAAACCTGGTTACCTGATGTACTCTGGAAGTATAAAAGCGCCTTGTACTGATCGATAGTGCAACCTTTCCTCGACACATTCGATCCTGTGACACTTGGTAATCAGAGCTTTTCTCACTCGGCCGCGCTCAACAAAGCAGCAGCAGCGGGATCCTGCCTCGAAAAACCGCCGGGGGCGACCAATTCGACGCCGATTCTGGTAAGCACCAGCTCCGCGATTTTCGAATTACCCCCTCCGTGCGTGTTTTGAACAGGATGGCAACCTTCGACAACGCCGAGGTTACCCAGCAGCTCTTCGCGCGCATCGCAGCCCTTCAGGAGGAAATGCGAGCGGATCGCGAAGCGTGGCGAAACGAGTTCGAGCGAGTAACTCGACTCGCCGGAGCGCAGCACGACGACAACGGCGACGACGCAGCAAGTTTCTCGAGGCTCCAAAACTGCGCCCGCCTGAGCCGTTCGATCCGAGCCGATCGAAACTCCGACGCACGCAGATGGATCGCCGGGATGGAGATCTACTTCGCAGCCGTCGGATGGGAGCTCGCCAGTCTGGGACGGTCAACGTGTACGACTCGCGGCGACGGCTGATGCGAGGGCCGGCACTCGAGTGGATCGGCGGCAACAGTACGTTCATCCACAGTGAAGCCACGTGGCAGCAGTTCCGCACCGACCTGCTGAAGCGATTCGAGCCGATAAATTCCGGTTTCCTTGCCCGGGAAAAAAATTCATCGACATCGACAGTTCGGGAGTGTAGCACAGTACACGCAGCAAATGGAAGATTTTTATAACCGTATTCGCGACCTGACCGAAGGGGAAAAAGTACAGTCCTACCTTGCCGGGCTGAAGACCGAAGTCAAACGACAGGTGGTTGCGTCAAACTACGCGAAGTACAGTGACGTCGTTTCTGGCCGCGGAACGCTTCGACATGCACAACGCCGGGGACACGACGGTGCGCACGTCGGCAGTACGCGACAGGGCGACCGCTCGGCTCACACCACGTTCGCCGACCCGATGGAAATCGACAGGTTCGACGGGCGGCCACGTCCAAAAAATACCAACTATACGTGTGATTTTTGCGGGGTGCCGGGCCATCGAATCTTCAACTGCAACAAAATCAAAGCCGCACGCGCCGAGTATCGGGCACGCAACAGTAGCAGAAATCCTTCGGCCAATCAGAAAACCAAAAAATGGGAGTTGCCAGTGATTCCGGATCTAGCTGGGCGAAAAGGAAAAGATCCTAAAGCGGCCACGGGATCCCGGGAAAATCAACTTCGACGAAGCTGATTCGACGCGAGCAGGAGGAAATGATGGGGGAAAGTCTCCACCCCATGACCAGTCCTCGGCAGAGGAAATCGCCGAGAAAAAATCCAACTCTGCGAGAAATGACTCTGCCGAGACGGGGAAACTCCTTGAAGACACAAGAAATTATAAGGATTCGTTAAAGTTATCTTATAAAGATGCTTTAATGAAAACTTATGATTCTCGAGGGTCTAGAGCCTTGGAGAAAATTCGGGAGGGACTCCAGAAGAAGCAGAAAGCTGTGGAGATTATACCGGTACTGGACAATTTGGGGGAAAAAGTTAAGGAGTGTGGAAAGAAGTCGACCTTTCCACGGAGTCAACGTCCTCTCCCGACACCAGCCCACAACGACTACTCGTTCCCCAGGGAAGACGTCGGTGGAGCTGAAGCAGCTCAAGAGGAAGCTGGGGGTCTACAAGAAGCTGCCAAAACCCCGAACTCCTCCTCTGGATGCATCCAGTTCAGCAAATTCGGCATCAACAAGACGCACTGTCGTCACAAAAACTCCGGGCCCTGGAGAGGAGCCTTTCTCCAAGCAGCCACGGCCAGCTGCTAGCCCAGGAGCAGATAGCAACAAAAAGGTGTGTACGGAATATTGGGATGTACCCTATGACCCAGTTAATGAAACCACCTTTGGGTACTCCGAGCAACGCCCGCCCCTCGTGCTGGAGGTCATCTGCAAAGGACGACGCCTCCAAGCACTCGTGGACAGCGGAGCATCGCACACCGTCTGTGACAAGGCAGCAAATCGACCGACTTCGGGAAGAGTACAAGCCTTCAGCATTCTCTGCAACGATGGTGGGACGGCAGCAAGTTACCAGTACACGGCGAAGCAGTGCTACACCTACAAATTGGACCTCTGCGCTGGAGACCTGCACTCCCCATCACCAACATAAAAGGGCTTGACTTGATCTTCGGGCGAGACTTTCTCAAAAGATTCAACCCCGAGATAAACTGGGTAAACCGCACCGCAAGCATCTAGAACAATGGAAGGAGAGTCTGACTATCGAACTGGGACGATACAGGAGATATCCCAGTGGAGACACTCGCACGATTCGAGAAGGACGTGAAGCGAACCGACACCAGGTTCCTGGTGATAGCAACAGAGGTGGAGAACGGTGGAGAAAAGACCCCGGAACCTCCAGGAAAAATCAAGGAATTGCTGAAGGACATCCAAGACATTCTCCCTGACGATCTTCCGAACGAGCTACTGCCATACCGAACGCATCAACACGAGATCGTGGAGGAGCCAGGTTCGAAGCTGACCTTCCGAGCACCATATCGGCTCAGCCCCACTGAGCTAGCTGACATGAAGAAACAGATCGAGTATCTCCTCGCCAAAGGACTAATCCGACCATCCACGTTGCCATACGGTGCCCCAGTGCTCTTCACACCGCAACCGGATGGAAGCCTGCGCATGTGTATCGACTACCAAACTCTTAACAAGCAGACCATCAAGAATAAGTATCCGATACCTGGGATCGATGACCTGCTTGACCAGCTTCGGGGAGCTACGGTATTTTCCAAACTAGATCTGCGGTCCAGATACTGGCAGATACGAATGGCGGACAACTCCATCCACAAAACCGCTTTCCGAACTCGGTACGGATCGTACGAGTATTTGGTCATGCCGTTCGGACTCACCAACGCACCAGCAACGTTCCAAGCTGAAATGAACCACATTCTACGCCCACTCTTGGACGAGTGCGTGGTGGTGTACCTGGATGACATCCTCATCTACTCACACGACATGAAGCAGCACGTCGAACACCTGCGACGCGTCTTCGAAATTCTTCGACGGGAACGATTCTACGTCAAGCTATCCAAGAGCGAATTCGCCCTCAAGAAAGTCCAATTCCTAGAACATATGATGAGCGCTCAAGGAGTTCACGTCGACCCTAACAAGATTGAAGCCGTACGTACGTGGAAGGCACCCGAGAACATGAAGGAGTTGCAGCAATTCCTAGGCTTCGCTAATTTTTACAACAGGTTCGTGCCACAGTACGCGAAAATCGCAACGCCACTCAAGAAGAACACGCCCTACAAGTGGGAGTCAAAGCACCAAGAGGCCATGGAGCAGCTGAAACAAGCACTCACGTTCGCACCAGTACTCATCTTGCCAAATCTTGAACGCGACTGCGTCATTGAAGCTGACGCCAGCGAACAGGCAGTGGGAGCAGTCTTGATGCAAGACCAGGGGAATGGACTGCAACCAATCGCCTACCTCAGCAAGAAACTACATGGGGAAAAAACTAAACTACCCGATTCACGACAAAGAGGCCCTTGCTATTATTATCGCCTTCAAAGCGTGGAGATGTTATCTTGAAGGACGAAAAACAACCGTCTACACCGACCACTGCAGCTTGAAATATTTAAAGACACAACCAACCCTTTCCAGGCGGCAGGTCCGGTGGATTGACTTCCTCGAGACGCACTTCCACTTCGACATCGTCTACAAGCCCGGCCACAAAAACAAAGCAGACGCCCTTTGCCAGCTTGCACACGTTGTTGCTATCCAAGTTGAGGGGATGAATGCACTGCTTTAGGGACTCTTCACACACGGGTACACCATCAACCCCGAAATCTCCCTGGCAGAAAAGCTACACCTTCTACAGTAGGACAATGACATTGCGTTCTGGAAAGGATCAACAAAAATCTGGGTACCTAATTACCCTCCTTTGCGCCAGTTACTCGAATAATACCACGACGTCCTATACGCCAAACACTTCGGTAGCAACAAGACGCTGACCGGTATCGCAAAACATTACTACTGGCCCCACTTCGCAGACGATGTCCAGAAATTTGTCACCTCATGCGACACATGTCAACGGATGAAGAGCAGCAAACAAAAGAAGGCGGGACTACTACAGCCTCTTCCTGTCCCAGAACAACCATGGCAAGTGGTTAGCCTAGACATCATCACCGGGTTACCACCTACCACAGCGGTCATGACGCCATCCTTGTCGTCATCGACAAATTCTCCAAAATGGGACACTTCATCCCGACACACACGACAACACGCACCGAAGAAACGGCACAGCTCTTCGTTCGATACATCATCGCACAACATGGCATTCCAACCACACTCATCTCCGACCGAGACCCCAAGTTCACCAGCAAGTTCTGGAAAGAACTCATGTCTCTACTCGGAACAAAACTCGCCATGTCATCCGCCTACCATCTGCAGACAGACGGACAGACCGAGCGCCTCAACCAGATTGCGAGCAACTCCTCCGAGCAGCCTGCAAGAACGAAATCTCCAAATGGGACTTGCACCTGCCCGTTCTCGAGTTTGCTTACAATAACGCTACACATGCCGCTACTGGATAGACGCCGTTCTTCCTCTGCCACGTACGCCACCCACTCACACCACAGAAACCGACCACATCAGCTACAGTACAACCTGCACACGACTTTATCACGACCATGCATCAGCTTTGGGATCGGACCCACAAGCGCCTACTTGACATCCAGCAGCAACAGAAGCGCCAGGCCGATCGCCATCGCAACGACCACACCATCATCGTGGGAGACCAGGTGCTCCTCGACACCCGCAACCTTGACATCAGCCATCTCCCATCTAAGCTTCGACCTCGCTTCTGCGGGCCTTTCCTCGTTGAAGCACAGGTCACTCCGGTTACTTTCCGCTTACGCCTGCCAGCTACCTGGAAGATTCACAACGCCTTCCATGTCCAACTTCTGAAGCCCTATCAGGATCTGACCACGATCTTCGTCGGACGCCAACCGCCGCCGCCACCGCCCGTCCTCGTCCAGAATGAACCCGAGTACGAGGTCGAGTCCGTGCTTGCACACCGCCGTCGTCGGAATGGCACCGTGGAGCTTCTTATTCGTTGGAAGGGTTATGATCATTCTGAGGACAGTTGGGTACCTGAGACCGACATGGGTAACGCCCGTCGTCCTCTGCATGACTACCTTGTCAAGCAGGGTGTTACTGCTACCACCCAGCTTTGAGGGGGGGAAGTGTGAGAGTACGACCTCGTTACACCACTTGGGGCTTTTCCTTATTTCCTTTCTCTTTCATTTCTCTTTTTATCCCATCTTATGTGGTTTCCTATTCTCCATTTTCCATTATCCTTTGGTTTATCCTACTATTATAATTATATCACCGACCAGGCTAGGAATGTACTGGGACGCTACCTAGCGTAATCCTGCCATAATCCCTTAAAGCCAATAGCCTCGCGTGGCTATACGCAGGGTGATTCTATTTTCTAGAAGGGTCTATTCCCTTGGATAGGATAAAACCTGGTTACCTGATGTACTCTGAAAGTATAAAAGCGCCTTGTATCAATCGATAGTGCAATCTTTCCTCGAGACATTCGATCCTGTGACGCTTCCATTCAAGACCCTCATACGGCTTCTATCTTTGAGGGGGCACGGGAGGACCCTGGAGACGAAGGGGAGGAGCAGCACGAGGAGCCTGAACCAGCTGATCCTAACCATGAGGAGTCCCAAGAGACAGATTCTACCCCTCAGCCAGCCACGCAGGCCGATGCGCGCGATGATCAACCGGAGCAGCATGTGCCTTCAACTCCATCGAGAAGCAGTTGGCAGCAGTTGTTGAACCAGCAGCTGTCTAAGACTCCAAGGACTCCAATGAAGAGGGTGACTTGGGAGGAGAAGCTACGGAGGCTGGAAGAAGGAGAGGCAACACCTCTGCGACGCAGTGCTCGAATTTCCCAGCCACCTGAAAGGTTTTCACCGGGCCACATTGCACGCATGCATTATCATCTTGTGTCTGATTTGGATGATTGCATGCTTGTGGACATGCATGGGCATGAGTATGCTCTTGATGTGTGTCTTATGGGTCAGGTGCATGAGCCTAGGTCAGTCCACGAGGCGCTGAACCGTCCCGAATGGGTTGAGTCCATGCATGAGGAGCTTGAGTCTCACAAGGTAAATGGATCATTTGAGCTGGTTGATCCAGCAGTGGTACCACCTGGTTTGGAGGTCCTCAGGTGTCAATGGGTTTGGAAATACAAACATAACCCTGATGGTACCGTTGAGAGGCCTAAGTCCAGATTGGTGGTGATGGGAAACATGCAGAAATTGGGAGTACACTATGAAGAAGTGTACTCTCCAGTTGGGAAGCATGCGACCTTGAGAGGTATGCTTGGAATTTCGGCTGCTTTAGGGCTTGATATCCATCATATGGACGTCAAGACAGCCTTCCTCCATGGGCATTTCAAGGAAGAGCTTTACATGCGGCAGCCCCCTGGTTTTGATGATGGGTCTAATCGAGTGTCTCGCCTCAAAAAGTCCATTTATGGGCTAAAGCAAGCCCCACGACAGTGGTACCTAAAATTTGATGAGGCTCTCATGGATTTTGGGTTTGAGAGATCTGAGTGTGACCCTGCCTTGTACCACTTTGTGAGAGATGAGGAGAGGATCTCCTTATTCCTCTATGTGGATGACCTTTTGCTCCTATGCTCTAGCAAGTCTTCGCTAGATCAAGGGAAAGACTTCTTGTCCTCGCGCTCTCGCATGAAAGACTTGGGGGAGGTGAAGTACTACTTGGGAATGCAAATTGAGCTTGATGAGAGTGGTATCTTGATTCATCAAGAGAGGTACATTCTTAACATGCTTCAGTCCTTTGGTCTCTCAGAGGCCAACCCCGAACGTACTCTTCTCCCGACAGGCTTTGATGTGCATGCCTATGAGGATGAACCTTTGCTGCGAGATGAGCTGGTCAAGCTCTACCAAAGCATTGTGGGATCCCTCATGTATGCTTGTACTACCACACAGCCACAGATTGCATTCGCAGTCTCACAGCTATCTAAGGTCGCCTCTTGTCCTAAAATGTTCCACCTGCAGGCCGCTAAGAGAGTGCTGAGGTACCTGAAAGGTGGTGTCAAGTCAGGTATCTTCTTCCAAACACAGCCCCAATCTCAGGTCCATCTGGTTGGCTTCAGTGATGCCGACTATGCTGGAGATTCCGCATGTCGCAAGAGCCACAGTGGGTATGTGTTCTGTCTGAATGGGGCAGCTATCTCTTGGCAGAGCAAGAGGCAGCCCGTGATGGCACTCTCTACCACTGAGAGTGAGTACATAAATCTGTGTCAGTGCATTCAGGAGGGTGTGTGGCTGAGGCGTTTGTTTGGGGAGTTTGGCCATGATCATGCTGGTGGTGTGCTTGTGTTTGTGGATAATCAGTCTGCCATTGCCCTTGCACAGAATGCATGCTTGCATGGCCGCACCAAACACATGCAGGTCCGGTGGCATTTCATTCGGGAGATGGTGGCTGCAGGAGAGGTGATTTTGAAGTGGTGCCCCACCAACCATCAGGCTGCTGATATTCTTACCAAGTCTCTTCCATTTGAGCGCCATGGTGTGTGCATGACCTTGCTTGGGATGCAGCCCCATGATGACAAGGTTCCCGAAGCAGTTGCCGGCGTCTTGGTGCTCCTCTCCTTGGCGGACTCCATGCTCTGGGTGGCCCCAACCCCTGGGCAAGGGGGAGTGGTGTGAAGTCTTTTGCCCTATGATGTTGAGCCACACCCAGCAGGAGCAAGGGGGAGTGATAAATGTGTAGTGTTTTGTGGTGTAGTTTGCTCTAGCTGGTTGTGGGCTATTGGGATTTGGGCAAAAGAACTTAAGTTGGTTGGCAAGGTTTGATCTCGTTACCTTTCCAACCCATACAACCTCAAACCCACTACAATATCTTTGATGTTGCACTTGTGGCACTTGAGACTGTTGGCGTTTGGTCTTAGGCAAGGGTTGGTGGTGTTTGACAATGACATACTCGAAGTTTTCCAGATCTAACTGCTTCCCCTCTCGTTTTGACTAGGTCATTCATGGCTGCCTAGCAAAATTACCACAATATCCCCTCGCACTGATTTCATCATAATTGGCGGCTCAGATCTTGGTTATGAACGTGCTTTACCATTCTGGAAAGTAGAGATTAAGACCTTTCCAACGCGTATAAGCTCATTTCTAGAAGTTACCTGAGCTGCACGCAATGTTCCGTTGAGGTCGTCAGACTTAATCTCAAATTAATTCTCTCCAGATTTGCACGATTTCCATCAGGAGCTGCCTAGCATGGAGGAAGATGAGGAATCTTCATGTGATAACAAGAAGCAGACCGTGGTGGATCTACCTGAATCTACATGGGAGGGGAAGCAAATAAACCCCTCCCACAATAATGGAGTGAAGGTGTCTGCTGCATTGAAGCTCGTTGAGAAGAATGGCGAGGTGGGCAGTGTTGGGAACCTAGTCCCAGTGCCGAAGAAATGGGTGAAGTCTATTATTATTGAAGCCATTACTGGAGGTGATGAATAGCCGCCATGTTGAGGGGGAGTTTGTTGGTGCATAATTGGTTTTTGCACTTCAACCTGCCGCCTAATCACCAAAGACGAAGCGAAACTGAATAAGTTGGTTTCAATTTGAATGATTCGTGGTTAAACATTCTGGATTAAGTGGTTAAGTTGCTAGAATCTGTGGGGTTTACATGTGTGAGGGCGAGCTCAAGAAGAGCTGATGGAAGTCCCACAGGAGTCCCATGGAAGTCCAGCAAGGTGCACGGTTTTTTGCTTTAAGCGATAACCATATACATCTACAGCCTTTGTATAAGTAAGTAGAGGGGACAAGATCGTAAGGGAATGTATGGGGAGGATAGGCTCATGTGAATTGCCCATGGTTTCAGGTTGGGGTGTGTGGCGCCAGGTGGGTTTCGCGTCCACATACTCTAAACACTATTTGCACTTGGTGTGAGAGTACGACCATGTTACAACACTTGACCTTTTCCTTATTTTCTTTCTATTTTATTTCTCTTTCTATCCCATCTCATTTGGTTTCCTATTCTCCATTTTCCATTATCCTTTGGTTTATCCTACTATTATAATTATATCACCGACCAGGCTAGGAATGTACTGGGACACTATCTAGCATAATCCTGCCGTAATCCCTTAAAGCCAATAGCCTCGCGTGGCTATACGCAGGGTGATTCTATTTCTAGAAGGGTCTATTCCCTTGGATAGGATAAAACCTGGTTACCTGATGTACTCTGGAAGTATAAAAGCGCCTTGTATCAATCGATAGTGCAATCTTTCCTCGAGTCATTCGATCCAGTGACACTTGGTAATCAGAGCTTTTCTCACTCGGCGGCGCTCAACAAAGCAGCAGCAGTGGGAAAACCTGCCTCGAAAAACAGCCGGGGGCGACGAATTCGACGCCGATTCTGGTAAGCACCAGCTCCGCGTTTTGTGAATTCCCCCCCCCCCCCGTGCGAGTTTTGAACAGGATGGCAACCTTCGACAACGCCGAGGTTACCCAACAACTCTTCACGCGCATCGCCGCTCTTCAGGAGGAGCTACGAGCGGATCGCGAAGCGTGGTGAAACGAGTTCGAGCGAGGAACTTGACTCGCCGGAGCGCAGCACGACTCGACAACGGCGACGACGCAGCTGTCGCAGCAGTTTCTCGAGGCTCCGAAACCGCGCCCACCTGGTTTGTTTGATCCGAGCGATCGAAACTCCGATGCACGCGGATGGATCGCCGGGATGGAGATCTACTTCGCAGCCGTCGGATGGAGCTCGCCAGTCTGGGACGGTCAACGTGTACGACTCGCGGCGACGCTGATGCAAGGGCCAGCACTCGAGTGGATCGGCGGCAACAGTACGTTCATCCACGGTGAAGCCACGTGGCAGCAGTTCCGCACCGACCTGCTGAAGCGATTCGAGCCGATAAATTCCGGTTTCCTTGCCCGGGAAAAAATTCATCGACATCGACAGTTCGGGAGTGTAGCACAATACACGCAGCAAATGGAAGAATTTTATAACCATATTCCCGACCAGAACGAAGGGGAAAAAGTACAGTCCTACCTTGCCGGGCTGAAGACCGAAGTCAAACGACAGGTGGCAGCGTCAAACTACGCGAAGTACAGTGACGTCGTTTCGGCCGCGGAACGCTTCGACATGGTCAACGCCGGGACACGACGGGCGCACGTTGTCAGTATGCGACAGGGCGACCGCTCGGCTCACACCACGTTCGCCGACCCGATGGAAATCGACAGGTTCGACGGGCGGCCACGTCCGAAAAACACCAACTACACGTGTGATTTTTGCGGGGTGCCGGGCCATCGAATCTTCGACTACAACAAAATGAAAGCCGCACGCGCCAAGTATCGGGCATGCAACAGTAGCGGAAATCCTTCGGCCAATCAGAAACCAAAAAACGGGAGTCGCCAGTGATTCCGGATCTAGCTGGCGAAAAGGGAAAGATCCTAAAGCGGCCGCGGGATCCCGGGAAAATCAACTTCGACGAAGCTGATTCGACGCGAGCAGGAGGAAATGATGGGGGAAAATATCCATCCCATGACCAGTCTTCGCCAGAGGAAATCGCCGAGAAAAAATCCAACTCCGCGAGAAATGACTCTGGCGAGACGGGGGAAACTCCTTGAAGACCCAAGAAATTATAAGGATTCGTTAAAGTTATCTTATAAAGATTCTTTAATGAAAACTTATGATTCTCGAGGGGCTAGAGCCTTGGAGAAAATTTGGGAGGGACTCCAAAAGAAGCAGAAAGCTGTGGAGATTATACCAGTACCAGACAACTTGGGGAAAAAATTAAGGAGTGTGGAAAGAAGCCGACCTTTCCACGGAGTCAACGTCCTCTCCCGACACCAGCCCACAATGACTACCCATTCCCCAGGGAAGACGTTGGTGGAGCTGAAGCAGCTCAAGAGGAAGTTGGGGGTCTACAAGTAGCTGCCCGCCCCTCGTGCTCGAGGTCATCTGCAAAGGACGACGCCTCCAAGCACTTGTGGACAGCGGAGCATCGCACACTGTATGCGACATGGCAGCAATCGACGGACTTTGGGAAGAGTACAAGCCTTCAGTATTCTCTGCAACGACGGTAGACGGCAGCAAGTTACCAGTACACGGTGAAGCAGTGCTACACCTGCAAATTGGACCACTGCGCTGGAGACCTGCACTCCCCATCACCAACATAAAAGGGCTTGACTTGATCTTCGGGCGAGACTTTCTCAAAAGATTCAACCCGAGATCAACTGGGTAAACCGCACCGGAAGCATCTACAACAATGGAAGGAGAGTCTGACTATCGAACTGGGACGATACAGGAGATATCCCAGTGGAGACACTCGCACGATTCGAGAAGGATGTGAAGCGAACCGACACCGGGTTCCAGGCGATAGCAACAGAGGTGGAGAACGGTGGAGAGAAGACCTCGGAACCTCCAGGAAAATCAAGGAATTGCTGAAGGAGTTCCAAGACATTCTCCCTGACGATCTTCCAAACGAGCTACTGCCATCCCGAACGCATCAACACGAGATCGTGGAGGAACCAGGTTCGAAGCCGACCTTCCGAGCACCATATCGGCTCAGCCCCACTGAGCTAGCCGACATGAAAAAACAGATCGAGTATCTCCTCGCCAAAGGACTCATTCGACCATCCACGTTGCCATACGGTGCCCCGGTGCTCTTCACACCGAAACCGGACGGAAGCTTGCGCATGTGTATCGACTACCGAGCTCTCAACAAACAGACCATCAAGAACAAATATCCGATACCACGAATCGATGACCTGCTTGACCAGCTTCAGGGAGCTACGGTATTTTCCAAATTGGATCTGCGGTCCGGAAATTGGCAGATACGGATGGCGGACAATTCCATCCACAAGACGGCCTTCCGAACTCGGTACGGGTCGTACGAGTATTTGGTCATGCCATTCGGACTCACCAACGCACCAGCAACGTTCCAAGCCGAAATCAACCACATTCTACGCCCACTCTTGGACGAGTGCGTGGTGGTGTACCTGGACGACATCCTCATCTACTCACGCGACATGAAGCTGCATGTCGAACACTTGCCATGCGTCTTCGAAATTTTTGACGCGAACGATTCTACGTCAAACTATCCAAGAGCAAATTCACCCTCGAGAAGGTCCAATTCCTAGGACACATGGTGAGCGCTCAAGGAGTTCACGTCGACCCCAAGAAGATTGAAGCCGTGCATACGTGGAAGACACCCAAGAACGTGAAGGAGTTGCAGCAGTTCCTCGGCTTCGCTAACTACTACAACAGGTTCGTGCCACAGTATGCAAAACTCGCAGCACCACTCACGAATCTGCTGAAGAAAAACACGCCCTACAAGTGGGAGCTGAAGCACCAGGAGGCCGTGGAACAGCTGAAACAAGCACTCACGTCCGCACCGGTACTCATCTTGCCAGATCCCGAACGCGACTACGTCATTGAAGCTGACGCCAGTGACCAGGCAGTGGGAGCAGTCTTGATGCAAGACCAAGGGAATGGACTGCAACCAATCGCCTACCTCAGCAAGAAACTACATGGGCAGAGCTAAACTACCCGATACACGACAAAGAGTCCCTTGCTATTATCATCGCCTTCAAAGCGTAGAGATGTTATCTTGAGGGACGAAAAACAACCATCCACACCGACCATTGCAGCCTAAAATATTTGAAGACACAACCAACCCGTTCCAGGCGGCAGGTCCGGTGGATTGACTTCCTCGAGACGCACTTCCACTACGACATCGTGTACAAGCCCGGCCACAAAAACAAAGCAGACGCCCTTAGCCGGCCTGCACATGTTGCCGCTATCCAAGTTGAGGGGATGAATCCACTACTAAAAGGACTCTTCACACACGGGTACACCATCGACCCCGAAATCCCCTGGCAAGAAAGCGACACCTACTACAGTGGGACAATGACATTGCGTACCGGAAAGGATCAACGAAAATCTGGGTACCTAATTACCCTCCTTTGCGCCAGTTACTACTCGAAGAATACCACGACGTCCTATACGCCGGACACTCCGGTAGCAACAAGACGCTGACCGGTATCGCAAAACACTACTACTGGCCCCACTTGGCAGACGATGTCCAGAAATTCGTCACCTCATGCGACACATGTCAACGGATGAAGAGCAGCAAACAGAAGAAGGCGGGACTACTGCAGCCTCTTCCTGTCCCAGAACAACCATGGCAAGTGGTCAGCCTAGACTTCATCACCGGGTTACCACCTACCACCAGCGGTCGTGACGACATCCTTGTCGTCATCGACAAATTCTCCAAAATGGGACACTTCATCCCGACGCACACGATAGCACGCACTGAAGAAACGGCACAGCTCTTCATTCGATACATCATCTCACAGCATGGCATTCCAACCTCACTCATCTCCTACCGAGACCGCAAGTTCACCAGCAAGTTCTGGAAAGAACTCATGTCTCTACTCGGAACAAAACTCGCCATGTCATCCGCCTACCATCCGCAGACAGACGGACAGACCGAGCGCCTCAACCAGATTGTCGAGCAACTCCTCCGAGCAGCCTGCAAGGACGAGATATCCAAATGGGACTTGCACCTGCCCGTTCTAGAGTTTGCTTACAATAACGCGACACATGCCGCTTTTGGACAGACGCCGCTCTTCCTCTGCTACGGATGCCACCCACTCACACCACAGAAACCGGCCACATCAGCTACAGTACAACCTGCACACGACTTCATCACAACCATGCATCACCTTTGGGATCGGACCCACAAGCGCCTACTTGACATCCAACAGCAACAGAAGTGCCAGGCCGATCGCCATTGCAACGACCACACCATCACCGTAGGAGATCAGGTGCTCCTCCACACCCGCAACCTTGACATCAGCCATCTCCCATCTAAGATTCGACCTCGCTTCTGCGGGCCTTTCCTCGTTGAAGCACAGGTCACTCCTGTTACCTTTCGCTTACGCCTGCCAGCTGCCTGGAAGATTCACAACGCCTTCCATGTCCAACTTCTGAAGCCCTATCAAGATCCGAACACGATCTTCATCGGACGCCAACCGCCTCGCCACCGCCCGTCCTCGTCCAGAATGAACCCGAGTACGAGGTCGAGTCCGGGCTTGCACACCGCCGTCGTCGAAATAGCACCATGGAGCTTCTTATTCGTTGGAAGGGTTATGATCCTTCTGAGGACAGCTGGGTACCTGAGACCGACATGGGTAACGCCTGTCATCCTCTGCATGACTACCTTGTCAAGCAGGGTGTTACCCAGCTTTGAGGGGGGGAAGTGTGAGAGTACGACCCCGTTACACCACTTGTCCTTTTCCTTGTTTTCTTTCTATTTCATTTCTCCTTTTATCCCATCGCATTTGGTTTCCTAATCTCCATTTTCCATTATCCTTTGGTTTATCCTACTATTATAATTATATCACCGACCAGGCTAGGAATGTACTGGGATGCTATCTAGCGTAATCCTGCCATAATCCCTTAAAGCCAATAGCCTCGCATGGCTAGACGCAGGGTGATTCTATTTCTAGAAGGGTCTATTCCCTTGGATAGGATAAAACCTAGTTACCTAATGTACTCTGGAAGTATAAAAGCGCCTTGTATCAATCAATAGTGCAATCTTTCCTCAAGACATTCGATTCTGTGACACTTGGGGTTTGCAGGTGAATATACGTGGGATGTCACAGTGAAATATGGAGTGAATTTTGTCCAACTTTCACGTGAAATGCACGGGTGAAAAGCGTGGATTTTGCAGGTGCCATGCATGGGAGATTGTGGCTATTGTGACAACAATCTCATGTCGCAATATCTGAGGTTTGGGAGTGTGGTTCGAGCTAGTGATTGGTGGACTGTTTGCTTTTACATTTGGTGGGCTGTTAGATTAAAATGTGTGTGTCTCATTTGTAATACATTATTTTTTGAATGAAACATTCCCTATCATCGTATTGATGGGAGGGAATTGCTGCATACGCACCAAGTCATCATATGCATGCTGCGTTTATGTTGGAGGAAGGCTCTAGTGGAATTTGACCCAGGCTATACTTGGCTTACTCTCTTCAAACACGGATCCTTAGATAGGGGCTGGCTTTACAGGCACCCAAGGACCCACTGAGGTGACCCCATGGAGTATGTTATGTATGCTTGAGTCCCTATTCCTAGAGCATTATCAATTTCATCTTTCTAACAGCAACAGTGCATTCATCCACTGCGAAGCCGCGTGGAAGCAGTTCCACACCATCATGCTCAAACGTTTCGAGCCGATAAATTTGGGTTTCCTTGCCCGGGAATAAAATTCATCGCCATCGCCAGTTCAAGAGTGCAGCGTAGTACACGCAGCACATGAAGGAATTTTATAACCGGATTCCCAATCAGATCAAAGGGGAAAATGAGCAGTCGTATCTCGCCGACCTGAAGACCAAAGTAAAGCGATAGGTGGCAGTGACAAATTACGCGAACTATAGTGATGTTGTATCGGCTGCGAAACGATTTGACCTGGACAACACTGGGGCATGACGGGCGCACGTCTCCAGTACGCGACATGGCAACCACTCGGCACACCCCACGTTTGCAGACTCGATGGAGATCGTTAGATTCGACAAGCGGCCACGTCCAGAAAACGCGAGCTTCATGTGCCATTTTTGCGGAGTGCCGGGCCATCGAATCTTCGCGTTGAACAAAATGAAAGCCACATGTGCAGAGTATCAGACGCACATAAATGGCGAGGATTCTTCGGCCAATCAGAAGTAAAAAAGAACAGGAATCACCCGTGATTGTGGATCTAGCTAGGGGAAATAATAAACACCAGGAAGCGGCCATGGGATCTCGGAAAAGCCAATTTCGACGAAGCCGATTCGACGCGTGTAGGAGGAAATGATGGGACAGAATCTCCACCCCACAACCAATCTTCTCCTGGGAAAATCGTCGAGGAAAAATATGACTCCGCAAGACGTGGAAACTCCTAGAAGACCCAAGAAATTATAAGGATTCATTAAAGTTATCTTACTAAGATGCTTTTATGAAAACTTATGATTCTCGAGGGGCTAGAGCTTTGGAGAATTTTCGGGAAAGACTCCTAAAGAAGTAGGAAATTCTGGAGATTGTACCAATACCGGAGTTTACGGGGAAAGGAGTCGACCTTTCTACGGGGTCGACGTCCGTTTCCGACACCAGCCCACAGCGTTTACCCGTTCCTTATGGAAGACGTCAGTGGAGCTGAAGCAGCTCAAGAGAAAGCTAGGAAGCCGTACATACAAGGAAGACGCCCGAGAACATAAAGGAGTTGCAACAGTTTCTAGGCTTCGTCAATTATTATAACGGGTACGTGCCCCGCGCCGCTCACGAATCTGCTGAAGAAGAACATGCCCTATCAATGGGAACAAAAACATAAGGAAGTCGTGGAGCAGCTAAAACAGGCACTTACCTCCGCACCAGTACTCATCTTGCTAGATCCCGAATGTGACTACCTCATCGAATCTGACGCCAGTGACCAGGCAGTGGGAGCACTCCTAATGTAAGACCAAGGGAATGGACTGCAACCCATTGCTTACCTCAGCAAGAAATTGCACGGGGCACAACTGAATCACTCGATACACAACAAGGAGGCCCTTCCAATTGTCAGCGCCTTCAAAATGTGGAGATGTTATTTTGAAGAACGATAAACAACCATCTACACTAACCATTGCAGCCTGAAATATCCGAAGACATAGCCTGTCAATCTCTCTAGGTGACATGTTCTGTGGATTGACTTCCTCGAGACACATTTCCACTAAGACATCATGTACAAGCCGGGACATCAAAACACAGCAGATGCTCTCAGCCAGCCTGCACACTTTGCCACAATCCAAGTTGAAAGGATGAACTCGCTACTTAAGGGACTCTTTACACACGGGTACGCTATCGACCCCAAGGTTCCATTGGAAAAAAAAAAAAAAAAAAAAAAAAAAAAAAAAAAAAAACCGACATCTGCTACAATGGAACAATGACATTGCGTACTGGAAAGGATCCACGAAAATCTGGGTACCCAATTACCCATATTTGTGTCAGTTACTACTTGATGAATACCACAATGTCCTATACGCCAGACACTTCGGTAGTAACAAGACGCTCCGCGGTATTGCAAAGCACAAGTATGGCCCTACAAGGGAAACGACACACAGAAATTCATCACTTCGTGTGACACGTGTCATCGGAGCAGTAAGCAGAAGAAAGCATAACTTCTACAACCTCTTCCTGTCCCAGAATCGCCATGGCAAGTAGTGAGCCTAGACTTCATGACTAGGTTACCATCTACCACTAGCGGTCATGACGCTATCCTTGTCGTCATTGACAAATTCTCCACAATGGGGCACTTTGCCCTGACACCCACGACAGCGCGCACTGAGGAGACGGCACAAATATTTGATTGTCACATCATCTTCCAATATGGCATTCCAACCACACTCATCTCCGACCGAGACCCTGAGTTCACCAGCAAGTTTAGGAAGGAACTTATGTCTCTCCTCAGTACCGAACTCGTCATGTCATCCGCCTACCATCCACAGTCCGACGAACAAACACAATGCTTTAACCAAATTGTGGATCAACTCCTATGCGCAGCCTGCAAGGACAACATCCCATGTTTTTCAACTTGCTTGTGTGATTTGAACGTGTGCAAGAATTTGTGTGTGGTGTGTTCTGGAGTTTGGGAATGTGTTTTGTGTTATTTTGTTTCAGCAGGTATTTGTGATGATAGATCTTGAGAAGATCTTTCCGATGCAACGAGAATCCCTTCAATCGGAGCAAGAACGCGAAAGCTATGAAGATTCAACGTTCATGAGCTTGCGTTACAATTGCGGCGGTTACAAAGTGAAGTTGTGGGGTGACTCTATATGGAGTTGGAACCTTTGGGCTTTGGAAAATTTGTCACTCTACTGTAGCAGCTGCAAATTGGTTGGGAACAACCAAGCTAGGCTGGCAAGGGTGGCCAACTTGGTTGGACTGGTTGGGAAGGGACAAATGTCAAAGTTGGGGTTCCTATAGGGAGGGAACTTTGTCCTTGTGGGGTTTTCTTGGTTGGGGACTCTCTTGGTACCTTCCCTCTCATCCCTTTCTTTCTATCCCAACCTTTCTCTTGCTCCTCTTATTCCTTTGTGAGATTCTTGAACCTTGATTGAAGTTTGAGCTTGAGTTAAGTAATTCCTACAGCCTACCCCTCAGTGCGTCGAAAGACATAGCGACGCGTATACTTCACTAATCAACGAGATTCAAATTGTGAATGATAAGTCAGAGTAAGAGCTACAACATATTCGAGTTTTGCGACATTCCAACGGCTGGTTTTGCGTCGGCGACGTTTCTTGCAGAGACAACTTTCTGTCCAGAATTTCGGATTTATATTTTGAGCAATTCTAGCTCCTAAGTTCACCTAGACTCCGTCCTTAATCCTAACATTCTCTAAAATGGTCTATTCTTTTTGGATATGATAAACCTGGTTACCTGATGTATAGTACCTTGGAAGTATAAAAGCGCCCTGTATCGATCGATAGTGCAACTTTCTCTCGACCAACTCGATCCTGTGACATTGTGGGCAGACTCACCCACTACGTAATATGCCCTTTTAGCTTAGTGGTTTGTGCACTTCAACATGCCGCCTATTTGCCAAGGAAGAAGCAACATTGAAGAAGAAGGATTCTATTTGAAGGTGTTATGGTAAAACACTCTGGGTCAAGTGGTTGTATTGTTACAAGTTGTAGGGTTTACATGTGTGAGGGTGAGATCAAGAAGAGCTAATGGAAGCCCCATGGAAGTCCCATGGATTTCCCAGGAAAGTCACATGGGAGTTACATGGGAGTCATTCGGGAGTCACACGAGAGTCACACAGAAGTCACACGGGAATCACATGGGAGTAACATTGGAGTCACATGGGAGTCACATGGGAGTACTATGGGGGTCCCATGGGGAGCTTACGTGGGTTTTATGGAGGACTTATAGGAGGCATACGAGAGTCTTGTGGGAGCTTAATGGGAGTCCTTTAGGAGTCTAAAAAGGTGCATGTTATGTGCCATTAAGCAATTACCATGTACACCTTAAGCCTCATGTTAGACATGGGTAAGTAAGTAGAGGGGGCGTGATCGTAAGGGAATACATAGGGAGTATATTCTCAGGTGAATAGCACATGGTTTCAGGTTGGAGTGTGTGATGCCTGGTGGATTTCGTGTCCACATGCTTTTGACACTATTTTCACCTAGGTTCGTAAGTGAAAAAGTGTGGAAACTCACAGGCAAAATTTGATGTGAATGTTGCGCAACTTTCATGTGTAATCTGCAGGTTAAATGTGCGAATTTTGCAGATACCACTCGTGGGAGAATGTGGCTGCCATAGCAACGATCTCATATCGTAATATCTGAGGTTCTGGAGTGTGGTTCTAGATAGTGATTGGTGGGCTGTTTGCATTTGCACTTAGTGCGGTGTTAGATTAGATATGCTTGTGTGTTTCATTCAAAATACGTCATTTTATAAAACAACATTCCCTATCATCGTATTGACGTGGGGGAATTGCTGCACACGCACCAAGTCAATACCTATCCGCCGCATTTATGCTGAAGGACTTGCTCTAGTGGAATTGGACTAAGCCTCCACTTGGCTTACTCTCTACAAACACAGTCTCTATGATAGGGGCTGGTTTTACCAAACACCCAAGGACTCTCGGAGGTGGCCCCGTGGAGTAAGTTTTGTATGCTTGAGTCCCTATTCCTAGAGCATAATTACGTTCTTGTTTCTGACGCAAATGTCTACTGTAGTGTAGTCCCATAATTCGTCTAAAAACATAAGCATGTTCCAAATGCATACCTGAGCTACCACACAGAAAACAACAAAAGTCACAAGAGTAGAAGGGAAGGGTGAAATGAGACGTAATAGGGTGAGGATGAATATAAATGACAAAGAAAGGTTGTACGCCATGAGCGATTCATTGTAGCATCGATGTTTTGCGTCTCCGTGTCGATCGTCGTTACGGGGTAAGATTCGTCGAAGTAGCAGAAGATTTGACTGTTCTGCAATAGTAGCTCGAACTCAAAACTCCAAGTGTAGAAACCGCGACGTCGAAGATAGAGCTTGTTCTGATCTTAGAAATAGCAACGAACTTCGATTGTGCTATCTGCAGGGCTTCGTCACTTAATCGTATGCTTGCAGATGCTGTTATAATCACAATAGGCTCAGATGTGCCTAAAATGAGAGAAAATGTGCACAGTCAGAATTCCGTCAGACAGCTTCAAATATTGATGCCGATCTGATGTGTGCCTGAAACGGTGATCTGTAAATTGGATCTGGAGCGCGTTGCTGTCGCCTATCAGCAGCAAGTTGAATCATAAAATTCCATAAAGATTTGACGACGCTATGGCGGTTTGACTGGCAGGAGGTACAGCAGCCACTATAGTCTTAGGAGTACAAAAACTTAGGAAGAAGAATTCGAGAGGAAGATGGTTCCCAGCCTCTAATTACCCCAAGAGCCGAGGTCCAGGTTGGTGGTACACCACCACAGAGTCCCCAACCACGAAGAGTCTCAAAACAAACCCTCCAAGGGGCTACACAAAGTGAAATGTAACACTACACGACGTAGCGTTACTATTTTCACTATTTAATATTTATCCGCGTACCTTGGGCTTGAAATCTTGAGCTCTTGGTCTTGGTTCTTCAAGATAAATTCTTCTTGAGTTGATGGGGGCTTGCTGCACACACCTGCGACGCGATGGACACTTCACACTCGACAAAATAGAAAAACACATGCCACACGCAAACGACGACTTGACATGCGAGTTGTAAAAACTCACTAATGTCTTGACCGAAACAGACCACATTGTGAGACACCATTCAAACACACACACAAGCACTAGATAGCAATGACATAGACTCACAAGTCATTCCATGCCATGCATGCACACAAACAAACAAGGACGACAAGTCGAGTGCAAGCCAAAGTGTTGCACCAACAAACTCCCCCTCGGATTGTTGGCCTTAGAATCTGCTCCCCTTAGTTCAGAGCCATCCCAGCAAGCTTGCAACACTTCCAATGCTGCTGCTCAACCAGCCTTTTGGTCATCATATCAGCAGGCTGCGCCGTCGTCTTCACGTAGTGCAACTCCACTTCACCCGCGGTTACCATGCTCCTCACCCAATGCCACTTCACCTTCATGTGCTTGGTAAGGCCATGAAGAACCGGGTTCTTAGCCAATGCAATAGCACCCTGGCTATCACAGTAGAGTGGGGTAGGTCCTTGCTGCTCCTCCCCCAATTCAGCTAGCAAACGCCGCTGCCACACAACCTCTCTTATGGCACGGAAGAGTGCCATGTACTCGGACTCCACCGAGCTCAATGCTTGGTCCACTTGTTTCTTGCTCTCCCAAGCTGTTGGTCCTCCACCAACACAGCAGATGAAGCCTCCCACACTTGTCATGTCCTCTGGTTCTGATGCCCAAGATGCATCAGTGAAGGCGGTGAGAAAGAGCCTCCCGGGTTCGACTCCATCCGCACCCTTTTGACGCCTTTGTGCCGCCGCGGAGTATTGCAGTCCAACAGTTGCTGTTTGGCCTAGGTACTTGGCCACCCTCTCTCCAGCTGCTACCTGCTCTTCATTAGGGCATTGGACAACCCTAGCTAGCTGCCCGGTAGCAAAGGCTGCATCCGGCCTTGTGTGAACGGCCGCATACATGAGGCTGCCCACCAAGGAGTGAAAACGGCGCCTCTCCTCTTCACCAACAGTTTCCTCCGCTGGTCCTTTCACACACTTGAACCCTGAGGGTAGAGGAGTAGCCACATGACCTTCACTCTTCCCAAAGTTTGCAGCCAAGGCCTCCAAGTACTTCTTTTGATGCACTCGCATGCACCGCTTCTCCACATCTCGCTCAATGTGAAGCCCAAGGTAGTAGTTGACGTCTCCAAGGGTCTTGCACTTGAACTTGTCTTGAAGCTTCAGCATCACCTCCTTCAAAAGGTCAGAGGAGGGTGAGAATATGAGGATGTCATCCACATAAACCACCATGAAGCTCCTCTGCTCCCCCTCGCCAAGCATGAACAAGGATTGATCGGCCGTTGAGGGAGTGAAGCCGATCGCCTCCAAGACTTCCTGCAGCTTGATGTACCATTGCCTAGGGGCTTGCTTGAGGCCATAGAGTGCTTTCTTCAGCTTCCACACTCTGCCACTCCCATCATTGTACCCCTCTGGCTGCTCTATGTAGGTCTCTTCTTCCAAACCTCCATTGAGGAAGGCCGTTGCGATGTCCATTTGCTTCACCACCCATCCTTTGATGGCCGCCGCGGCTAAGAGGGTTCGAAGGGTTGTACCCTTCACCACAGGAGCATATACTTTATTGTAGTCCTTCTTCTCCTGCTGCTGGTACCCCTTGGCTACAAGTCTGCTCTTGTAGCGCTCAATGTTGCCATTGGCGTCAGTCTTGCGGTTCAAGAGCCACTTGGAAGAAATCGCTTTACGCCCCGGAGGTAGGTTCACCAAGTCAAACGTGTCGTTCTCGATGATGCTTCCCATTTCTTCATCTGAGGCCTTCTTCCAATCCTTCCCATTGGGGCCCTCTCAAGCCTCCTTGGGATTTGTAGGCTCCCCCGGCATCTCCACCGGAGAGAAGAAGGCAAAAGCGCACTCCTCGCTTTCATCTTCCGCATCATCGCCTAGCATGAGAGCCGAACCGGTCAAGGTTGAGTTGGCTGGTCCTCCAAGCCGGTCATAGCTCAACCTATTGGGGGGATGAGTCTTCCTTCTCCCCCTTCCTTCCTCCTCTGCCGTAGGGACTTGAATGCTCTCATGGCGTTGCAGTAAATCTGGCCGGTTCCCGCGAGCACTTGTAGCACGAGGCGGAAGTGACGGTGCATGCTCATCACCTTGC